AGCCTGTCTCTACTAGCTATTCATCAGTACTCTAGTCTCTGTGCTGTGAGGAAGGTCAAAACACCAGCGTTGGTTCTGGGAACCCGTCTATGTAAGAACGCCGAGAAGGGAGAGTGGCTGTTGAGGGTAGGGTAGCTAGTCAGCCAGTGCGAGACGGCTCCTCTGCATTCCACCACTGAAATGGAATCGTGCCTATGTCACCTGCGATTTGAGCATCCCTCGGGCACATTCTATCATCTATGAAATAGAGCTGATAAATGGGACGAATGTGTTTCTAGAAAGTGGGAGACTGAATGCTCCCTCAGGATGTGTTGGGAAGCTAGTGGAAGGCTTGGAAGCAGCAGGCTTGCTCATGGGAATTTGGCCTTCTGTGCGGATGTGCGTGCTGGGCTGCAGCTGCTGCAGAGCCTCTCCCTGAGCTCACAGGGCTAACGGAGATTAAATGTAAAAGCTACAGGCAGCGGGAGATGCAGTCCATCCAAATCCTTGTCATTGTTGAAAGTGAATGTTTTCTTCCACCATACCTGGATGGAGTCAGAAACCCCCGGACACACAAGGTGCGGTCAGGCTTTGTGCCAGCATCAAGGGGATGTCTGTGCAGATGACTGAATATAAGTGGGGGACACACAGTGACTTCCGAACCATGAAAACAGACGTTAAGGGCCATTTTGCTTTAAAAGAGTCTCCCGGGCTGCATGTCTCCCCTCCTGTGCGGCCAGCTGGTCCCTGTATCTTCTGGGAAGGAGTCCTGGGTCTTCACGTTTCCTTTGGCTCTCCTTTAGGGATGAATCTGGAGACTCCTGCTCTCATCAGCTCTATTAATTACTTTCACTTTTTTTTTTGATCAAAATACTTGACAGAAACAACTGAGGGCAGGAAAGTTTGCTTTGGCTCATGGTGCAGAAGGATTGCAGGTCCTTAGGGCATAGGTCTGGAGGGTAGGACTGTGTGTCAGGAGGTTGGGGGGCAGACGCCTCCTAAGGTGGCTGACAGGAAGCAGAGCAGAGGGAGCTGATGGGATGGGAGTGGTACAGGATTTAAAGTGAATTACTTGTATCAGCCCACTCTGGCTTGAGAAGCTGCACACTCTTCAAAATGTAGTGCTGCTAGCCAGGGCAGAGTGCTGAGAACATGAGCCCCGGAGGTGCTTTTCACATTCAGACCTCCATAGGGGCTTTATGATGGATGCTTCTGAGTAGATGCCCACAAGGGCAATATCAAATTGAGCCGGTGCACTGTGTACTGTTGCCTAGAAATCCACTCCCTCCTGTCTTGCCCACAGGCGCACAATGTCTAGGTCTCTCTCCCCAACCCTTCCCAGAAAGGTGTATATAAATGTGTGTGTGTGTGTGTGTGTGTGTGTGTGTGTGTGTGTGTGTGTATGTGTGTGTGTGTGTGTGTGTGCATGCTTCCTCTGGAGTTCAAATGCAGCTAACTGCAGTGGGTTTTCTGGGTAGAATACTTGCTATTTGAGATCTTCGTCATAGTCTTCGATAGATATTTGCATAAGAAATTGAGGCTGGTTGAGACGTGTACTTATTCTACTGAAGGTTTAAAGTGATGTCTGACTTTTAACAGACAAACTTTTAAGTGGCAAATTTATTTGTATGCTATTTCAAAGTCAAAACACGCGTGGTGGAACAGGGCTTTCTATTCGCTGAACTTGGAAAAAATGACGTAACTTCTGTCATTGCTGTTCCGTGTTGGAATGCTACTCCCAGGATGTATGTTCTTTGAAGCAGACATATTTCTCCTCACTAACATACTCCTATAATAGAATGGTACTTTGCTCACAACATTCAATAAATTGCAGTTGACTAAATCAATCAAGTAGAAATAGTAATTCTGTCTAACGGGGCAACCACAGAGATTAAATAAAACCATACTGCCAAAGCCCTGGGCTGAAGCCTCCGGATGTTTCTTTCATGTGGCTCATCATTTCATGATTCTCTGTTGTTTACAGTGTTAGGTGACTAAAAAGTTGGCTTAAATATAGTCTTATATCCAATATTTTATGATTTGGGTGCTCAAAGCCAGGGCCTTCTGTGTGGTATGCAAGGGCTCCAGCATGGAGCTCCAGTCCCAGGGCCTTTATAGCCAGTTATCCCAGAAGTCATGGCTATGTAACATCATCGGGAAGCGCACCATTATCTTCTCTTACTTTGTTCCTGTGACCTCTGCACAAGGCAGGTCCCATCACTCACTAAGGCCCACCCACCAAAACCACATTTACCAAGTTCCTCGGTGACTCCTCCGCTGTTAAGTTGAAGCACTTCCCAGGCATCCCTTGTCTCCTGAACCTTGTGTATGCCACTGACACAGTTGGAGGTCTGTCCTGAGACTCTTGCCTTGCTCAGTGTCCAAGATGCTCACACTTTGTGGAGCTGTCTGCTTCCTCCCTGGAGTCTCCTTGTGACCCCCCTTCATGCTCCCCTGTGCTTTTCAGCCAGTTAGGTGGACGGCTACAGGTCCTTATTCTTGAAGCCGCATCTAATTTTCTCTCTGCACTAGCTAGTGTCCTGACAGGAAATAACTGAGACATTTGAGGAGAATTTGATAATGAGAATTCTACAAGCATCTTTTAGAGCATTAGCAGTAGATAATGAACACAGACCTCCAGCACTTACGGTGGGTGGGGTTACATCCCACTAAGCCCATTGTTGGGAATGATGTAGGTGGAACATGCATTGAACATGTTTGCCATGCAGACATGACCAACCAACAGCACAGTACTCAGAGTGGAGGCTTCTTCCCCCTCCCGCTCACAGAGATTTCTGTCACTGCCCAGTGTGCCAACAGGGTGTCCACCAAGCCATTCCCGTACCAGGAGAGATCAAAAGTCAAGATTCAAATTGTTTTGTACTAAGTGTCTATCACTTTCACACCAGTATAAAGTCAAAAAAGTCTGTAACATTGTTGAGTCATCTTTAGGTTAGGGGCCATCTGTGTTCTGGTGTTGGAAACAGCAGTTGGTTACTGGAACCCAGAAAGGGAAGCAGAATGTGTGGGCTGCCAACTGGAGACAGACTCAACACACTGCTCAGCAGGGCGGATCTGTGGAGAGCCACAGTTGGGTAGCCTGGCCGATTACTTGTTGATCTCTTCATGATGTGCCCATGGACAGACACTCCCCCCCCCCAAAAAAAAATGAGAAATCTCATTAATGAGGTCCAACGGGCCAGTCTCCTGAGGGGATTTGCCTCTTTGTTTCCAGCCCTTGCAGGCTTTCTTTCTTTCTTATCAGGCTGGCCTGAGAGTACCTTGCCCGGTTCTCATTTCAGAGAGGATTGCCGTGGGGAACAGTACCTACCGTGGGATTTTAATAGATATTTAAAAAATGAAGTGAAGGATTCCCTGTCTGCTTGCGGTCTGCTAAGAGGTCTGAATCACGGGTGGATGTTGCCACTCACCTTCTACTGGCTATTTTGCAGGCTGTTCTCATACCATTAAGGAATTGCCTACTGTCGAGTATCTTGTAGCCAAATTCACAGTTCCTCATCCATTTTCAGTGAGGTAGGGAGCTGTTTCTTCAGTTATCTTTTGTGAACTATAAAGTATGGCAATGCAGAGGAAGAAATAAATTACAGTTTTAAAAATCAGCATCACTCTGACCCAGCCTTAACGCCACTGTATATTTATTACCTGAGCTGGCAGGAATGAGGCGCCTCACACTGCATGCAATGCATTAAACAGGAAATAGACACTGCATGCTCAGTCATCTCTGGCTTTGTGTCGAGTGAGCACCCAGGTCCTCGGGGTCTTTCCCTTTTATTGTGTGTGAGGGTTTCAGTTGCGAGCTGATTTCAGTAGCTGTGGGTCTCAGCACAGGTGTGGGATGTCAGTGACAGCAGCCAAGATTCAGAGTGGCTCCTGGTTTCTGAAAGTTAATAAAAATTCAGTTAGAATCCATTCGCCAAGGAGAGGTCAGCAAGCTGCTGTCTCCCGGAAGCTGAAGGAAACACCAGGGCACAGCGGCCCAAAGAGAGGCTTCGGAACCATTTTTCCTTCTTGCCACAGTCGTCCCTCCCCCAGCCCTGTCACGGCTTCTGTTTGCTCATCACTGTTGGTGAAGGCAAAATCCACAGAAGCCAGGAGCATGGAAGAGGATGCGGTGCCCGGGCTTGTAAGGTACCTTGAGTTGGTGGTCTGTTACCTCGCCTGCCTGCATTTTCATTTAGCAGTAATGATGACCTCTGAGGCATATGATGGCAGGTGGTGGAGGGGCCCAAAAAGAACACAACAGTTTCAGTGACTCAGAACCAGTCAGTGTCTGTGTGGGGAGGAAGAGAGACTGAGGGAATTCACTTTGGCATTTAACAAGCTCCTCAGGCCTGTCAGGAAATTGAAAAGGAATCAGGTCACCAGCATATTGACACGCAGTCAAATGGGCCTAAATGCTTTCCAATCACCTATGCATGAGTGGGGACGGGAAAAGATTGTCATTGGGAAAAATACCTGCTGCAATCTCTCTCTATTGAGCTGCTTCCCTCACTGTCCGGGGGCACACTGCCATTTTGTCTCTATCACACGGAAAGACCCGGCTGGTGCAATCGATTCCAGGGAGCACCCATCAATTCAGTTAAACAAGCAGCGGGAAGGGAAAGGCCGGCAATCGATAACCGTGGCTCCCCTGAATGGATGGGTCTATTGGTTGACTTATGTGTTCAGTTGCTGCCAAGCCCGGGAAGTGTTGTGGGGACCTAAGGCCACAGACAGGCCCTGGGGAAAGCTTACTGTGTCAAAGCTTTCCAAGGACAGCACTGCTACTTGGGAGGTAGGGCTTCGTCTGTGGCACAGCAATTGTCACTGTGGCCTGCAGTGGCCTCTGGAGAGCCCTGGTCACGTGACTGCTGTTACCAACTGCCCTGAGCTGAGCAGCAAGCAGGGAAGCCACTTCATACGTCATGGTTACTTACTTCTCGGCAAGCCAGCAAGATGGAAACCATTCCTCCTCCCTCGCCTCACTACGCGAAGGATGAAGAGAAACTGCTCAGTCCATTGATGGGAGGCAGGGCCCGGAACTCTGTGATCACCCTCTGACCACACAGTGATGCTTAGCCTTAGTCGTCACCCTGTCTGCATCTGGACACAGCGGCAAGGGGGGTTTCTGGGCCAGGTGATTTGACATGGGAAGACTCACTCCGGTGGCAGCAAGATAAAAACACGGTGAGAGGGCAAGTCGTGCATTTTGCCTGCTCACCTTCCCATCATGCTGTTCAGCTCATCTCTCCTTCTGCTGCCACTACACCCCTTCACCGACACGGGGCTTCCGATGTGAACTGGAGACCGGTGGCTTTCTGGGAATCCCCTGTGCCTTAATGCCAGGTAGGGGACTGCTGGGACACCCCGCCTTGTGGACGGAGCACCGCTGTGTTCTCAGCTTCTCTGGTCTAAAGATAGATGTCGCTGGGCTACCCAGACTGTATCGTGTGAGCCAAACTAATAAAGCCCTTTAATACACATCCATCGTTGGTTCTGTTCATCTAGAGAACCTGAATACAATTGCCAAGGCCCAAACCCTCTTGAGGATGCCCTGACTCCACCCACCTGCAGTCACTCGAAGGGATGGTCTGAATACTGTCACGTCTACTTACTGTGGAACCTTGAGCAAACCATCCAACTGCTTCACTTTCAGTTTTCCCATCTGCAGAGTGGCCCTAATGTCTCCTCATCAGGAGAGTGTGTCCACTCAAGTCCACTGCGTCAGGCCTGAGGCCATGTAAATGTGGAAAAGCCAATTTTTTAAGTTTAGATTTTTATTTATTTTTATATGTATAGGTGTCTTGCTTGCTTGTGTGCCTGTGTGCTACCTGGGTGCAGTGCCTATGGAGGCCAGAAGAGGGAGCCCCTGGAACTAAAGCTGCCATGTAGTTGCTGGGAATCAAACTCAGGTCCTCCCAAAAAGCAGCTAGTGCTTTTCATCACAAAAAAATGCTACCATCAGGGCTGCTTAGCAGAAGTGCAGACATGGAAATGGGGAAGTCAAACTGTCCTCATCCACCTGGGGTCATGGTGACAATGGCATTGATTTCTGTCCCACAATCGAGTGCATCAGCTTAAATGAGCATTGATTGGCCCAGGCAGCAGCTCCACTGTGAAAAAATAGGGAGTTGCTCCATTTCCAGATGAGCACCAGATGATTTCCACAGTCAGTTCTTTCCCCCTCATGGTATAATAATCACTGTCTATTGTTCTGAGTCCTTTGTATACACAGGTATTTCCCCTTTAAACTTCGCAATGATCTTATAGTACAGGAATCTTTCATTTTATTTTACCATTGAATTTGCAAACTAAAGTGATTGTACAAGCAAGCTATGAGCAAGAGCATAACCCTGGTCTTTTGGACCCTTGGGTTGAGGACATAGTCTCTGGAACCACTTCCTGGGTTCGAGATCCACCTTCCCATTTCCTTGCTGCGTAAACTTGGGTGAGTTTCTGGACTCTGTGCCTTTATTTCTTCCTCTTCAGAAATGGAGAGAATGGCAACTCTCACAGAGGCATTGGGGCTCATCTGTGTAGAGTACTGGCCACACAGTTCATATTGTTCTGTAGTAAGGGATGTTAGCTTACCAGCAATTGTTTCTCTGAGGCATTGGGGCTCATCTGTGTAGAGTACTGGCCACACAGTTCATATTGTTCTGTAGGAAGGGATGTTAGCTTACCAGCAATTGTTTCTCTGAGTGTTACACATGGGCTTCCAGGTGTCATCTTTTGTCT